CCCCAAAACCCCAAAACCCCAAAACCCCAAAACCCCGTAATATCTGAAATTTGGAAATTTGATGAAAGCTGAAAAGTTGTATTATGATTGAATAAATATTTCATTTTGATTATGCAGCTACACTCTTTACATTTCCATTCTACAAGATGTTGCTCCAGAAGCTTGCTAATTGATGACAGTTACCTATTTCCATTACATTGAACTGTTGCATCAATCTATTATAAATGCTCATTCTTTCTTTTTTAAAGTTAGTAAGTACTTATTCACCCAAGTAGATTGTCAAGATCTCGTGAAGGAGCTGTAAATTGTCGATCTCTCTTTCTTACTGATAAATTATATAAAATTATGAATTTTACATTTTCAATAGAGTTTTGCATGCCTGAGGTGTCCTTGTCATTTTTAAAAAGAGTTCTAACTGTTTTCTTTCCTTGACTAACATTTTCAAGATCTGCTTATGTATTTTTCTTTTTTTATTCGAGCTTTTTCTGTTGCTTTTCGACTGCTTCTCTGGAAGTCACAGCATCACAGAGTGCTTAGAGATCATAGATTTCACCTTTACACCAATGATACATATCAACGAATGGATTGTTTTGCTTCTAAATAAGGTCATCCATTTGGGTCTTTAGATCAACTCCTTGTGTTTCATGTCCTAGGACCATTCTTTGCTTATTTTGTTCGACATACACATTTAGGTTCAGATCTTCATAATTGCTCAGAATATTGTAGAGACCCTTATGATTTGCAATCGAAGATGTCTTGATTTATTGAAAGTGTTAGATTAATTTTTTCATGACCTTAAGTTGTGGAATAACTTTCTTCGCAAAGAAGGAGAATTCGATAATCACATTATTGAATCGTTCTTTTTCGGTCAAATCATACATTCTCTCTTTAATATCAGTAGCTTTATGCATTCTGTCAATTTGAATAGCAGTGTTGAATTTAGTTACTTTGTTCAAGCAATTCTCAATATCACCACTTGGTCTGGAGAAGCATAAGAATTCTTCAGAATTGATAATGAACTCTAGCATGGAGCATTTTCTTAGGAATCTCTCGAGATAAAATCTGCGTTCATGAATAAACTTAATTTCTTTGCTACCCTAATACAGATGATGTTATCATAAATTAGTTTAATTTACAATTGCTTTTTTGGGAGGTATTTTAGGAATAAACACACCTGGCCATTTAAGTTGAAGAGTTTCATGTAGAGCATGGAACTAACTATATCTTCTTTGACCTTCCCATGGACCTTATCTGTCCATACCTTTAACATTGTAGACAATATGACTGCCCTAAAGTTGAGGATTTAATACTACGAAATCCATGTTTTCATCATTAAACAAAGTAGGGACAAAAGTTCTATCAATCTTTGCAGCAAGTGGGACATCCTCACCCTCCCCACTATTCTTCCACATTTCAGCTTCATCGTTTCCTGTGTTATCTGCTGGCTACATGTGATACACATCTATATGAAAGTCTTTATCAAATGATTGGTATATCTACCTTCTTCATAGTAATTTTTTTTGGTCTCCATTCCTTTGGATCTTTAATTATAATCTTATTTTATAATATATCTTTCTAATTCAGCCTATTTTCCCAGCCGGGGTTTTGGGGTTTTGGGG